AGCACCGGCGGAGAATGCGCCAAGCCTATAAAAAAGACATGAGTTTGCTTTCACATTTGCATCAGCAACTTCTAACCTGTCCGAGATATTTCGATTTACGTATATTTGTGATTAACTGGTTTTTAATTCTACTATGGAAAATTAACGATCATCATAAGTATTTAATACCGATTATTTTTCTCATCGTGAAATGGACCAATCAGCTAATCTAATTTTTCGAATAAATTTTGTTTAGATAAGTGATTAAATCCCAAGACCAGTTTAACCGAGATTATTTTTTCGGCTTCCTTTTGGGTTTTCTTTTTGTCGTTTATCACTAATTCTGAGAGATTTTGGCAACAGTTCATTTAAAAACATTGATTTACAACTCATATGTATGACTTAATAACGATTTTAATCGGTGAAAACCCCTTATTCTGGTTGAGTGGTTTTTCGATATTATTTTGAACCAATAAGTGGAGAAAAATACGTCCGAATTTGATATGTTGACATGCGAAACGGTCCTCGATGCATTGTTGGGATGCGTAACCAAGGTGGCAGAAGCACAAACATTACTTATATACTAGACGTCATTTTGAAACGTCTTTAAATTTTATTTACCGCTGTAGTGAAAATGAATTCACGGTTTAGTAAATGTTGTCCGAAAATGTTAAATTTTATAGTTAATAAAATTCTTATAGTTATTTGCTTCATCCTAAGTCATTCGCTTCATTCTAAGTCATTCAGGAAATAATCTAGCTGTATATCACTCAACCTATAAATTTAATTTATTAAACTACTCAAATAATTTTTTGCATGATTTTGCTTTTTAGAAAATAGTTTCACGCACAATAATTTTAGAATAAGAACCCTCGACCGCTTCGCGGTCACATACACATTTAATTGAAAAACTTAAACTTAAATTTAATAACATTTATTATAAGAGTTTAATACGTTTAAATGCTTTGGTTTTTGAGATATTAAAGATTATTCTTGTGCTGACAATGAAGTCAGAGAAATAACCAAGAAAAATAAAGAAGTAGTTCTTTGATTTATATTACGATGACTTGTAGATATATTGGATTTTCTATAAAAGAACCAATTAAGACAAATTCAATTTCTTCACTTCCAACGACAGGTTTCTGCCTAATAGCTTTTTCATATAGCACACTATCAGCTCTCTCAATAGGAAAATTATTTTTTCAAAGGAACGCTTGTCAGGAAAATTCCTGTTTGAATATCTTTGAATTAAATCATCAACTGTTCTCACAAAATAAAATCACTAGTAACATATTCATCCCTTCCGCCAGCACATACTGCTCCATTTTTCTTGATAAAATAATAAACACTTACTTATTAACCTTATTGTAGGTAAATTAAATAAAAATAACCTGTTATAAATTTAAATAAAGTCCATAAACTAATGTTGATTTTGAAAATAGCTACTAAGTGTTACTAGAAAATTGCCATGGCAACACCAGCCACCTTGATTACAATTTTATTAAAAAATCGCTTTTTATTCAAAATCTGAGCCGGATAGGTATGGGAAACCCTAATATAGTTTGAAAGAACATTTAAATCTGCTTCGACTTATTTAAAAAAATACATAATGTTGCATTTAAAATAACGAAGTTTTTATGTATAATAAACATTTAAAATAGACCAGCAATTTTTAATACCACTGTATACATTTAAGGAAGCAATAAAATTTTTTAGCAAAGTCTATTTCTCTGGCTTGAAAGTCAGCACAAGAATTAATTCTGAAAGGTAATGTACAAGGTGGTAATAATGTTTTTATTATATCGTGCATATTTAAATATGTTTAAATATCTCAAAGACCAAAGATTTTAAACATATTAAACCCTTATGGATGCCTTATTTTATGTCCAAGAATCCAAAATTGAAATAAAATACCGGGTGTTCCATAAGAAAAAATATAACTTTGGTATGGATCTTAGTTCCTGTACATTTCAAAATAATTTTGAATTATGCACGTTATCTTCCCACATATACCCATAAAATAGTTTCTTTCTACATCTTTCCGTTTTCGTATAATCCACCGACGCGAACGAGGTGCGCCACCCTGTATTAATAAACCTTATGTGATAAATTTTATATGTATAAATGGCTATAATTTCTATTGCCTCCGATGGTTTCAATGATTGTAAAATGCGTGAATTTTGTCTCTGATTTTATGTAAGTAGTAACTGAATATCAATGAAAATAAATAAATTGACAATTCCCAATCTGCATCACACCAAAGTAAAAAAAGAAACGAAATCGAAGGAAAACGACTAGTTTTAACGTGGGAGGTATCCTATGGCCAAGTCTATTGCAATTTTCTCTCCCCTTTGGTATGAGTGTGTGTACCCCGCTGATAGTAGCGACCGTGGGGTAAATGGGGAGCGAATCGTTGGCAAGGTGAGGAGGAAGACGGGGGAAGACATGACAGGGGAGACCGGCTTTGGGGATACAAAATGGCGTCCCAGGAGATAGGGTGGAATGGAGCGGAGGGAGATATCGGGTCTTGTGCGTGTGTATGGACAGACGGTGGCGAAAGGGGGAATTGCGGGAAGGAATGCTTCGTGTTGCACCGGAATGTGTCTCGATCTGCTTCAGGACATTACGTTTTTGTTTTTTTGTACAGTTTCATTCTTAGTATTTCCATTTTAAAATAATGGACAATGTTTAGGATTTCTAAGTGAGACATGGCAAGTTGTTTTATACAGGTACGGACGAAAAGTTATTACTCTTCAAACCAGTTAAAAATATGTGGGTGGCGCCCTCTACAAATAGGAGTCAAATTAACATCAAAATCAAATTTCTGAGGTCAAAAAACTCCCAAACACCAATTTTCATCCAAATATTGACGTTACTTCAGAAATTATTTGGAAAAAATCGAAATAAAAATGAAACTTCTATACACCTTGTATTAGTGTTGCACAAGACAAGAATTCTTGTCTTGAAAATCAATTTCTTGTCTTGTCTTTGAAATTCAAGACAAGAAATTTTCAGTCTTGTCTTGTAGATTTCTTGAATGGCAAAGTCTTGTCTTGTCTTGCAATCTTGAAATTTCTTCTCTTGAAAAATTTTACATTCTAATAAAAAGGTTATAATATTTCTATATTTTATTTCATAGAAAGCGTCGTATACAAAATGTAATACGGAAAAATGAACAACAACGATGCTAATTTTAGCAAAAAAAATCTTAACGGAGCGCAAACGAACTACGTCAACTTGCCATGCCAGTTTGACGAAACAGGAGCCATTACCAAATAAAAGCTAAATAAGGATAAGTAAGGTTAAGTTAGTTTTATGGATTTTAGGGTATTATTTCGTACCTAACCTTGTGCGTTAAGTTATTTAAGTATTACTCACTACCAAAAAAAGGTGTAATATGAAATATGAACAGTATAAATAATATAAGTGTCGATAGTGAAACCGAGTCCGAACCCTTCCAAGACAGTGGAAGTGAATTCGCGGTTAGTAATAGTGAGCTAACACTGACAATGAATGTAACATAAACACTGACAATGAATGTGAGGATTTAAGTTTGGACACAGGGTGTACGGAAAGGTCATGCTAGAGTGTACTATTTGGGCTATTTGACTACTACTTTTTGTTCGCGGAGCAATTTCGTGCATGAAAAGTAGTACCATATAGCGCAAATAGCGTGCTCCACGAACCCACCATTAGTTTCAAGTACCGTTAGTTTTTTTTATAATACCATTATACCAATATAATTTTATGTATAATACCAATTACCAATATACGGTTTGTTGCCTCGACTTTATTTTATTTCATTCTCAACTCTAAAACACTGGCTATGATAGAAAAAAAAACGAACACGGGTCAATATTAATGCCGGGTTTATACAACATTTGTATAAGTCGTAATCATAATCACAGTCTTAATCATCGTCATAATCATAACGCGATTTTAATGTGCGTTTATAGAACATTTTCATAATCATAATTCAGTGAAGTTGGGTAACATAATTAATTAAAGGCTAAGTTCATGGTAGATGTCAACAGGTTTATAAGAAGTGGATAGTTTAACTTTTATGATTATGACTATGATTGTGATTACGACTATGTAAGTGTTGTATAAACTCGGCATAACTTGCGCAAAGACCTAATTATCACTTAAAAAAATGTATCATTTCCAACTTTCAAGAAATCTTGAATTCAAGAAATCTTGCAAGATTCTTGAAATTTCTTGCATATTAAAGTCTCGTCTTATCTTGAAATTCAAGACATGAAATTTTGAAAGTCTTGTCTTGAATTTCTTGCAAGAGTCTTGGTCTTGCAAGACTCTTTCAAGACTCTTGTGCAACACTACCCTGTTTCGAAATTAAGCATTTTATAGGACATACATTTATACGAACTTTTTTACTTATTTTTATCTGCAGAATATTCTGCCGAAGTTTCCGGAATACAGTTCGGACCACCCTGTATAGACAAACGGAAAATATTGGCTGTAGAAATAGATTACTTAGGTAGAAGCACTAGAGTATCAATATTACAAAGAGTGGGAAACGAGAAAATTAGAAACAGAACATCGGCACAAGAAAAAATAACACAGTGAATAGAGAAAACGGGTTTGAGATAGTTTGGTCATCTAATGAGGATGGAGGACACAAGATTACCAAAACGTGTATTCCAGTGGTCACCCCCTGGAAGAACAAACGGGGATGCCCGCGTCAGTTTTGGAACGACTGACGGATGAAATATTGAAATATGGAGTACATACATACTGTACAGAAAAATAATCAGAAATATTTGTTATTTATGTTTCTTATTCAGTTCAGTCTTGTATATGTGTCAATAAAAGTAAATATATGTTAGTAAGCTTTGCTGGGTGCATTCAGTGAATGATACGTTTAAAGAAGAAACGTGTTATAGATAACCAAAAATTATATAATATAATAAACAATTATCAAAACATTCCAGTTGATTATAATCTTCATTAATTTCTCTATGATATAAAAATAGCACAGCTAATAGTAAACGTTGACTTACCTATCAATTATCACAGGATCTGAAGGGGTTTCGTTGCGGTTGCCGCAGCTCTTTTTGTCACAACACCGGCTGTAAAAATATGAAAAATATTTCAATAAATAGCGTACTAATTTCCAGACCACACAGAACGAAATTTTCGAGAAAACAGTTATTTAGGGCCTGCTATTAAAAATAATGGCACATATAAAAGTTTAATATTTTTATGGTTTACCTATTAAATGAAAAATTTCTGGTGTATCATGAATATTGTTGTTAATAGCATAGCCACAAATAGCTTAATAAAATGCCTAAAGACTGTTCAATGGCAAAATTAAGTGTCAGGTGGCCAGATATCAATAAAGGCATCAAGTTGGTACGATTCATTCACATTCACCATATAATTTTACATTTATAAAATGATCGTAATATTAATTCCCAAGCCAACTCTCCAATTTTTTCGATCATATGGTGTTTAAATATAGGACTATTTAATTTATATAATTTAGAGACATCAAGGTAGCATATCAAAATTAGAGATAACAATTAGTAATTAAAGGGAGGGGGGGATGCAGATTTCATAGCTACATTTTCTAACTTTAGAATAAACTTCTGATGAACACTCACCAGTACAAAAAACGGGCACCTTAAAATGTTGATGTGTTTTAAAGTTTAATATATTTTGTCCTAGTGAGCCGATTTTGATGTTTTTTAAGCAATTTGTAGCTAAATTTTTGATGATACCCTGAATTTTCTGAATACCCTACAAAGCAAGAAATTTAAAAATAATTTTATCATCTAGGTATACGTCACTTCTCGATACTTTGTTTTTTGATTCATCTCAATAGCTTTATTTTTATTGGAGCTATTCGCTTTTGAATAAGACAGTAACGATTTACGGCAATTTTAGCATTGATTTTGAGGCCCCATCACACTTATAAAATAGTGTTTATTTTTGTCTAATGTCACTGTCCTTGAAAATTCATTTTATTAATGTTTATTGACGTTTACTCTAGTAGAGATGGTTTTAAATTCAGACGTATCGGCTACTGCTGGTTTAATTGATCATGGTAGAGCAACAACAGCGCCTCATGGCAACAAATCCTAGAGGCACTAGATAGAAGAGGCATCGAGAAGAACTTGATTAAGACCATATCATCATATCTTTCAGATCGGTCAATACAGATGGAAGCCGAAAATATTACAAAAACGCTAACCATAAATAGTGGTGTTCCGCAAGGCACAGTTATGGGTCCCGCATTGTGGAACATTTTATATGATGATTTGCCGAAAGTAGAAATGCCTGATGGTGTTACATTAATAGGGTTTGCAGATGCCGTGGCTATGGTAGCAGTAGCCAAACATGAATGTATATTAATGGATGTTGTTAATACCTCGCTGCTAAGAACATGTAAATGGCTGCTTAGCAGAAACTTGAGATTGGCCCCGAAAAAGACCGAAGCTGTTCTCCTAACCACTAAAAGAAAGTTATCTCCTATAACGTTTCAGATAGCAGACACTACAGTTATTCCAAAACAAGCTATTAAATATTTTGGAGTATGGCTCGACACAAAAAGAACCTTTAGAGCATATTAATAAAACTATACAAAAGGTCGAGGGCACCACACGTTTATTAAGCCGATTTTTACCAAATATCGGAGGACCTAAATTATCTAGAAGGAGGGTTCTTATGGGTGTGGCGCACTCACAAATTCTGTATGCGGCTCCAGCGTGGCACAAAGTGACAGAAAATAAAAGACTTGTGCAAAAACTAGGTAGGATTCAAAGAACTGCATGCATCCGAGTTGCATGTGCGCATCGGTCAATATCGAGAGAGGCTGTAAATATAATATCAAAAATTCCCCCCATAGAACTGCAAATAATAGAAAGGCTTGAAGTTTATGAGGGTATTGCAAAAGATGAAGCTCGAAAGAACTTAGTGAAACGCTGGCAGCAAAAATAGGACAACGGAAAGTACGGACGCTGGACATACAAGCTTATCCCAGACATTGAGACATGGCTAAACTCGAAAGGTGAAGTGGACTATTATTTAACGCAAGCACTTTCAGGACACGGGTGTTTTAGACAGTATCTATACAAACGAAAAAGATCTAGTACTGATCAGTGTAAATTCTGTGGAACAGTGGACAACGTTGAACATACCCTATACCACTGTTTCCGATGGAGTCAACAAAGACATCAATTCCAAATACGCACAGGACTTACATTTAATATTTCTAACATGATGGAAAGTCTAGTCAAGAGCACAGAATTTTGGGAAGGCGCATATAGGACTGCCAGAGAAATAATAGAGACCAAAGAAAAAGAACACCTTCTTTAGACAGCCTAATGCACTGAAGAAATGTGAGAGCGGTTACCGGTGCATAGAAGGCAAAACGAAGGGAGGAGGGTTTTTTTAGTCGGTTTTAAATTCAGAAGTATCGGCTACTGCTGGTTTAATTGATCATGGTAAAGATCCACTTTTGGACTTAAAACCATATCTGCTAAAGTAACTGACTCGCTTATATAATAATATGATTTTTCAAGGATACATAAATAAATTTACATAAATATAAATACTATTTTATAGGTCTGTTGACTAGGCACAAAAGCAAAGGCATGGTTTTGATGTAAAAAATACGAAAAAATCCTATACTTTCTGTTGGTACTTACAAAACATTGTTCATTATCAACTAGCCTAACAAACTTAAATTTGTACGTTGAATTTTAATTATATTTCAATTATGTTGTAATAAATAAACACATTATATATTACAACAAAAACGATTTTATTGTTTTACTTAAACGTTTCACTCTAATATCCGAAAAAGAAACACATTCCCTCCTGCTCGACAAAATGAAAAACCCGCTTAATTTTCCACTTTTTCCATCTAGTCGAATCGAAAGGTAATTTTCCGCAAGGCGGAATCTTGTCGCCTGTTTTCCCATTCTCTCCGTTTCATTTTACGTATGTGCAGCCGCTCAACTTAAGAGGTATAAAACAATTTGTCAAAAGCCTCCCTTACTTAGTTTGTTTACAAGAAAATGAACTGCGGAATATTTTTCTCGATCGTATTTTCTCGGAGAGTTTTCACGCACGCTTTTCCTCGTCTGAAACCTTTCTTTGTAAATATAAACAAAAGCGATTTTAATCACGTGTTTTCTTCTGTAGAGTGTTTCTTAATTAATACTGGGTGTCCCAATATTCCGTGGACATAGAACTATAGCGTGTATTAACGTATAACAATTCCGTGGACAATAACTATTGTGTATATTTGGAATCAAAATAAGTTCATTGGACACAATCAAAATGTAAATTTATATAAAAAATTAAAATTTTCTTTATTTGGTAAATATAAGGAATTATTGGAACCTTTCTTTCAAGTTAAATTAAATAATGAATATTTGCATAGTGTAAAAACCGCACGAAATTTAGGACATGAATTTGATAACTATTTTAGATTTAAATCACACGTAACTAATTGTATAACAAAGGCCTATTATAATTTAAAATTGGTATATCCACATAGAAGTATACTTCCAATAAAACAAAAGACTATTCTCACCGACCTCTCAGTCTTATCCACTTTAATTTTGCTGATGCTGTTCATGGACTTTCTACTTTCTTTATACCAAAAATATCAGCAACGCATACAAAACATACAGAGATCGTGTCTCAGAGATTTATGCCATATTCCATTGTAGATTTCGGTGTAAAAATTATTTTATTATCTATACTATATAATATTCTAAAATAATGACTTATTTGCCGATGTAGAAGTGATTTCTGATTTTCGGAGAATGACAATATTATGATATCATTAGTTTAGAGAAGCTATTTAGTCTTTGTTGTGACAGATGTTATTTTGGAAGTATATGGTATGATCGACCTCATAGTAGTTCCAATACTTTCCAGCTCATATTATTGGTTACAAAGGATTAAAAATAGATGGAGAATATCTTAAACACCTAAGATTCGCTGATGACATAGTCCTAATAACCAATAGTCGTGAAGAACTACAAACACAAATTAACAAACTAAATACAGCCAGCAATAAAGTGGATCTTAAAATAAATTTAGTAAAAACTAAAGTAATGTACAACGAACTAGTGGAAAGAAAAGACGTTCTAGAAAATAACACAACACTAGAAATAGGAGAAGACTATATATATATATATATATATATATATATATATATATATATATATATATATATATATATATATATATATATATATATATATATATATATATATATATATATATATATTTGGGGCAATTAATACACAAACTCGGGATCTCTACTACCAGAAATTAACAGAAAAATTAAGTTAGCATGGAGTACTTATGAAAGAAACTCAATCATATTCAATGTCGGATGCATGCGAAACCTGGACACTTAAAACGGACAATATAAGGAAACTGCAGGTCGCACAACGCTCAATGGAACGAAATATGCTGGGAATAATCAAGAGAGAGGCCTTTAAAGAATAGAGTGAATACAACAAAAGACCCAGGTAATAGATATCATCCACAGCCACAGAATCAAATCCCTCAAGTGGCAATGGGCAGGACATCTGGCAAGAAGGACAGACAATAGATGGACCACAAAAATTACAGCATGGTACCAACAAGAAATCAAGAGACCTAGAGGAAGACCAAACTTGAGATGGGACCATGACATAAGAAAATTCGAATGGATAACTTGGGTCCGCATTGCCAACAATAGACATCAATGTGCCCAACTACAAAAAGAGTATCTAAATATGCGAGGGAGGCTACACTATAGCTGGAAATAGTTAAATAAGCTGAAAATGATGATGATGATGATTATTGGTTTGCTGCAAAAGCTCGCTAAGACAAAGTTGATCTTTTCGGGTTCAGTTATTGATTTAGAAAAAAAATAGCACTAAGTTATTGTGTTAATATTGTAAAAATGAGCATTGAAATTCAAAGACCAGGAAGCACATGAATTTTGAGAGATAAAACACTTAAATCATAAATACTTCTTATACCAGATAAATCTTACTTAATGATTTTTGCAGCAAACATAATTTATGGATAAAATTGTGTAGGCTTTCACGGCCGGTATTCAGTACCAGTACCAGTCCAGTCGTCGAGTCGTTCACTTCGTCCTCGACCTCTACGCCACTGATGAAGACTGCCGCAGATGCAGTCGAAAGCTAATGGAGCCAACCACTCTTGACCACGGCCTAACAGCCCGCAAAACCGTTATTAGTCATAATTTATTAAACTATGAAGAAAAATGGTACATCAGCTCTGTAAAGAAATAGTCCAGAGAAAAATACGTCCAAAGTTTAAATATTAACACCCCTTCTTTTCGGGACCACACAATACCCAAAACAAAAATCAAATTTTTAAATTTAGTTCTAAATTCAATTCCGCAAATTTTCTTTTCCAGAAAATCATTTCTTTACAAATGCAGCGAACAGAAAATTGTACGAAGTACAGCCAAAGGCCCTTCCGCTTCCCCCAAACCGTACCTTTTAAATTCAACAAAACTATTTAAATATTTATTCCAATAAGACCCGCTCTAATCCACCCCTGTTTTCTCGGCTCGTCCAATCCCACCCTCAAATACATCTCAGCCCCTTTTGTTCTGATGGAGTGTGTTTATTTATTTTTACCAGTCAAAGAATAATATCCATTGAGAAAAAGAAGGACGTTAATGTATTTGTCTTTTTTACGATTTAAATTTACGTTCAACATAATTTTAGGGTTCCGTACTTCAAAGAAAAAAACGGAACCCTTATAGGATCACTTCGTTGCCTGTCCGTCCATCTGTTTGTCTGTCAATTTTTTGGAATAAATAGAATTAACGCAAGAATTGTGTCTTTATCTTTATCATTATTTGTTTTATAATCTATCATAAATACTAACTATCACTAGACACCATATGAAGGGTTCAGGGGAAAATTTGATAAGCGCCATTTTACTAATTTTACAGGAGAGCACCGGACGGCTGGTGGTTATCAGGTTCTTTCCGTGTATTCTATATTTTTACTAGGCATATATCATAGAATTTAACAACTTATTGCCATGCTGAGTTTATAAATTTCGTAGGGACCAGTTAGACCTTCTATAATATTGTAAAATCCTAAAATTAAGAAATTGGCGCTTATCAAGTTTTTCCCTGGACCTCATATTCAAATAATTTTTAACTTTCCATTTAATATACTGACCTGCACATAATTTCGTGTGTGAGAAGTACGCGGCACATCTCAGGGTTCTTATCTTGACCTTCATAGATAATAGCCTGAAAAGAAGAAAAAATATAGGAATTAATATTGGTAAGTTTAATAAATTAATGACTTATTGAAATTTAATGACGTATAGTTTAATAAATGAATGACTTGAAATTATGACATATGAATGATGTATACCAAAATAAGCTTTGCGTATGCCATTGAAAAAATTGACGTCTACTTATTATCATAAAAGCATCATCGTTGGTAGACATGTGCCTCAACTGCGCAGTTTTGTCAAGGTAAAACTGTATGTGTGTGGCTACCTTTACATGTATTGGTATATGAGATATATCGCTATAACATTAACTTAATACATATTCTTGTGTTTAAATCAATCCGCCAAAATTCAGAATTACGTTTTGCGCTCTAGAACCAAAATAAACGCTTAAAATTTGAAATGAAATCTGTCACACCCCCTATATTTCCCATTAGACGGCAAATGGGAACTAATTAATTTTGGGGCAATATTTAAAATTGAATATTCAATGCGCTTTAATGTGGAACCTGCTAAATGCAAATAATATAATTTATAAAATACGGTAAATATAGTACATAATACGGTGACAGCTTCAGTGGTATTAATTTGCAAATGCAGATTTCGCAATACGTATTTTACGGTATAAACTCTGACCTGTGCGTAATATCAAAATGAAATATTAACTAGAAATAAATAATAGTTATGTAGGTAGTTAACAGTAAATTTTGATATCTCAATAAAAAATAAAAGATATTTTTTATTTGTAAAATTTCACTGTATAATTCAAACGAAAACCAGCTTTTCAGTGGCTTGTTACTATAATAATAAACAATAAGGAATAACCCAGGGGCGGGAAAGTGAAATAGCAAAAGCGGTTCCACCGTTTCCACGGAAATTTCAAATAAAATAGTTCCAGCCCCAGGCGCTAGGTGGTAATGCAATTAATTTTTAGGTTAAGAAGTTGCTACTAGTTATTGCCAGATGGCATTAAATCAGATTTTTTTGTAGTTTCCATAGTTTCCAACCGCCATTGTCATACTGTTGTCAAATTCTCAAAAAATATTGTCGTTGTCATAGCGCCAATCATAATATTATCAAATGATTATCAAAACGTTTTTCAAATTATAATTTGTTATATGTGTTTTAATTAGACAATTCCTTTTGTTTGTGGCCCTAAAAATATAATGTAAGTCTTTTATTTTTGCCATCATTTAAGTACCTATTTATTTTTACTCCATTTACAAAACTTTGGGCGTATTACGCTGGTCTTGTTTTATTATAATAAACGATGTTTAAATATTTGACTTATAAATAAAATCTTTATATAATAAATAATATTTACACATGTTTGGCTTTAAGCTTATTTAATAATTGTATAAATTATACTGTAAAATCTTATTTTTTACACATCACAACGATACTTGTTATTAGTACTGTTGAATTTGTGTAAAAAATAATATTTAATAATCAAATTTAATTATTTTAGAGTAAAATTCAACTATACAACGACTATAACTAAATATTTCTTACTACTCGGTACTCGGACTGTTTTGACGATTAGAAATCAGTTGAAAATTCGAAATTTTTGTTCTGAGATCACTGGATTTTTGGTCAGAAATCAGGATTTTTATTTATTTTTTTATCAAGAAACTTCATGCGGCATGCGTGTGGCCGTTGTAAACTAATCCTGACTGCTCTGCAAACCAAGCCAATAAATAAAACTTCCAATTCACAGTTACTGATGACAGATATGTAATTCAAATTAAGTATTTTATAAATAAATTTATTGAAATAATATATAACCACATTTTTACAGTGTATATTTTATACGCATTGTAGATCATTAAAATTAAACTGTCTCTTCAACGAACACCTCAACAGATTGAATCTAAGAAACAACGGCGAATGCAGATTCTGTGGGAACAATGGAGAAACACCAGAACACCTTATCACTGAATGCGCCGAGAGGACAACCATTCGAACCATGAAGTTTGATACGACTGATATCGGAGATGGATATCTGCTAAACCGTCTGAGATACTGACTTTTGTCAAAGCTCTGTGACTGTATGATGAGTTATAACTCTAAGGGGGACATAACAGATCTATAAGGTAGCGGTGATTAACTTCTTCCTTCCAAAACAATGCCTCAAATAATGCTGTTATTAAAAAACAAATAACCTGGGCAAACTAAGTTCTACAAAAAAAAATGACGCACTCATTGAAATCTAGATCATCTGTTGGGGATCTTAACATACAAGTAACAACCACCTAAGCGTGATAGTCAGTAGACGCCATACGGTATCACAAACTGACGTATAACAACAGTCAGTTTGTAAAGCATCCGTATTTAAAGAATATCCCCAAGGACCCGACTGCCCAGTTTTGCCATGATGAAAAACTGCACGTGCGTGACCTTAACTCATGACCACCCACCAAAACACGTTTAACATGAGACGCGCATTTTACTATCCATGTTAGCACCAGTGTTAGAAGTAAAGTACTTTGGTTAATTGCGGTGAATTAGTGTTTTATTTTGGCTATAACGGCAAAGGTTTCAACCTCAACTGCACTTTTCACTCTCAGTATATGTTAGTGCCACAAATCGACAAGAAATTTGAAAAAATCATTAACACAATATAAAATTATATGTATTTATTTATTTATATAATTGTGTGTATTATTACGCACACATTAATAATTTGTTTATAAATAAATAATTCAACATTCAACGAGTTACCTCAAGATAACGACAATGCTAAAATGCTCAGCTAATAACATTTTACGCCAAATGATATAGTTCTGTAGCGAAAAGTCATTTAAATTTATAATGAGGAAAATGTGATGATTTTCAGTACGATGGTAAATAATACTGAATATTTTATCAGTTCGTTATTTTAATAACAATACGAATCGATAATTCGGATGAAAATAAACGTTTTTCATTTCTGGAAATCAAAATAATGTATATTATGCAATTTCAATTTAGTGTCAAATTTTAACACGTAAATATACTTTATTCTTTAAATGTATTCCTATCTATCATATTAAGGTAAATGGCATAGTTTATTAGAATTATAGATGGCATTATATTATGGATGGAATTATAAGTTTATGGTTTTTTAATAATATGTTAAATTCATGTACATATTAAATTTGTTATTTATGGAAAAAATCTTGTGCAGAAAATCGTATTTTTTACTTTTTGTGATGTCTATAGTTCTCATTTCAGCGAGCAGTTTTTCATGAATGCCCAAAACAGATATAAATTCAGTTTTTCTATGTTTTTTCTATATCTCCAATTTCTTTTTTTTTATTTCTTAATTGGCAAACTGCTTAATAATATCATCTTACAAAATATTGGCATCGAGGCATAAGAGTTACAGGCATAAAAGTTATTTTGGCATAAGAGTTACAGATACAGTTAGAGATAGATACTTATAACTGTAACATGGAATGGGTCTAAGACACTCGAAGAAATTTCTCAGAACTTACGAACGAGAAAAATCAAAGATTTTCCTTGATTAAGTAAAAACAATCTTCGGATTGTCAAGGATTTTTTTAACAGGACACAACGAACACCTCAAGAGATTGAAGTTAGGAAACAACGGCGAATGCAGATTCTGTAGGAACAATGGAGAAACACCAGATTCACACCATTCGTGCTATAAACTTTGGGACGACTGACATCGGAAACGCAGTACTAACCTCTGCAAACCCGTCTGAGATATTGATGATGAGTTATAACTCTAAGGGGAATACAAGGGATCTATAAGGTCTTCCCAAATAATGTCTCGAAAAATGCTATCATTAAAATATAAATAACCAGGTCAAACTAAGTTCTACAAAAAAAACTCACGCACTCATTGAAATCTGGATCATCTGCTGATGATCTTAGCTTACAATTAACAACCAGCAAAGCGAGATCGTCGGTAGACGCAATACGTATCACAAACTGACGTATAAAAGCAGTTCGTTTACAAGAATATCCCCAAGTAGTTGACTGCCTGTTTTGCCTTTGAAAAAACTGTACCTGTGTGACTACCTTAATTCATGACAACACAAACACGTTTAACACGGGGACGCATATTTTAGTATCCTTATTAGCACCAGTGTTAAAAGTACAGTACTTTGATGAATTGTGTGAATTAGTGTTTTATTTTGCACCTATTGTCACGCGTTTTGGCCTTAGCTCGGCTCTTTTAAATTAAAAAAAAAGAAAAAAAAATTTAGAAAAGAAGTAAAAAAAAATACGAAGAAGAAAAAAAAATATTATTAAGTTAGCGATTAAGAAAAATAAATATTTATGGAATTTGCAGGGGTCTAGTCGCGAACAAATTTATGCCCTAGCTCAGAAAATTCGGAGAGTAGGGGCGGGTTAAGAGCGCCACTGACTTTAGACGGAAAAAAAAAGTCAGAAATCCCCCAAGGTGTATTTAGGGCCTTACAAGTTCCACAAATACATAAATAAAAAAAAGTAAATAAATAAACAAAAAAGTCAAGATCTTAGAGAATTATGTAGACATAGGGCCAAAGGAAATATAAAAAATAATGCAAACTGATTAGTTTCAGTACCCTCTATTGAAATATAAAAGGAAAATATAGGAAACAGTAAATAGAAAATACCAAATAGCAAATAGTAAATTAAATAAATCAATAAAAAAAATTGTGCACCAAGAAAAATATATCTCACAATACGCAAGTAACAAAATTACGTAAATACCTAGGTACCTTTCGTGATCACGTAAGATTTACAAAATAAAATATATATGTATATATCAGCGCAACTAAATTCAGCTAAGATATCAAATTAATCAACAAATTAATAAATCAAATAAATAATACTAAACCAATTCACTAATAATAATAATTAATAATATAATTATTAAATAAATAAATCAAAATAATCAACTAATAATTATGAATTCATCAGTTCAAGAAATTTAGATATCGATAAAAAAAATGAATAGATTTAAATTTTAAATAGAGACAAAAAGAAACTGTGTCAGCTGTATTAAATTTACAAAAAAAA